AATGTACAACAGCAATAAAACACTAAGATCTATTCTATAAAAGTTTATCCTCCAATATCAAAGTTTTTTGTGTAACGGCTGGATTGTGTTTTAACTGTTTCTAGAAAAGATTTAGACTTGTTGCAGGGTAACGTCCTGCCCCCTCCTCCCAGACGGAGGGCAAAAAGCGGATCGCTAACAATGACTAGCATTGGTTTTAGCTGTCAAGTCTCTGACAGATCATCAGTAGAGCAGGTGATTAAATTAGCTAATCTACCACCGCGGCGGTAGCTTAGCTAATAGCAGTGGTAGCTAATTCACCACCACGGTGGTTTTATGATTCACTTATTAATCATAAAACAAACATCAAGCCTGAAAACATGAAACTGTACCCGACTGAATGTTTTGATCTTTGTGTTTTTTGGGTGTTGAATCTTGAAACATAAAGTGTTGTCGTTGTCAGTTGCTATGGCAACGGGTCTGTGTGTAGCGTAGCTGACACAAAGGGCGAGAAAAAAGAACGTGAGTTGTTGTTCAGTGGTTTCTCTGCCATATTTTCCCTTTGCTGTGGCTACTGCTTTAATGATACCTCCGTCTTTTTGCCCTGCGGCGTTGTGTCCGAATGTTAACAATAACATGCAGGAGGTCAATAACAGGAAAACGACCTCACCACTTAGTGGCTGAACGTTCTCATGTTTTACTCCTGCAGCCAATGGCAACGACAGCAAGAAGTTCAAAGGTGACATAAGAGGCCCCAGCCTGCCATCGCGGGTCATCCACATCCGCAAGCTTCCCAGCGACATCACAGAGGCCGAGGTCATCAGCCTGGGCCTGCCGTTCGGCGACGTCACCAACCTGCTGATGCTGAAAGCCAAGAACCAGGTATAGGCCGTCGCCATGACGCCCAGAACGGCCAATCATGGAAACTGAAGGCTTTATATCGTCTCTGTATCTCTATCTGTGTGTTTCAAATCCATTTGGTTTGGATAAAAGTGGATACGAATCGGACTAGTTTGTCCCAGTGGTTTGGATTCTGCATGAGGGAAACAGAAACAAACTGGTTAAAATGGCTGTTTTTATGGAACAATTTCATTAAAAAAAATGTTTTTCACTGGTTTACTTAAAATTTATACAAAATTAAGGTTTACGACACTTTATTTTAAAGTCAGGAATTTGTGTTTTCTCAACATTTGATCCAAGCTAAAAAAAACAACAACAACCTTTACCTTCGTGCTAACAGCAGGCCTTAAAGCTGCAGGTAGCTTTTATTAAAAACAATTCACATATTTGTTGTGACAGTTTGGTATGAGACATGCAGTCTGTGAAAGGCTCTTCTGCCTTCAAGAAACTAACCCAGAGCTAGGACTAGCATAGCCACTGACGACGGTGAATAAACTGTTTTCCTGTAACAGCCATTTTCACATTTTTCAATGCATACACAGCGTTGATTGACAGCGCTAAGACCCGCCTCCTGGCTCCTATTGGTTGCTTTTGGTTCTTTTCTTCAGAAGGCAGTAGCGGTTCTGGGAGGAGATTGATCTTTTTTTAGATTATCTGTCTCACGACAAACATGGTGGCATTTTTAACAAACATGTAAAAAAATATATTTATTAAAAAGTGACACTCTGCAGCTTTAAGCTCCTGGATTTGAGTTGTTGAAACCTGCAGAAGCCCTGACTGTTTGTCTGCTTCGTGTCGCCTGTCAGGCCTTCTTGGAGATGAACTCGGAGGAAGCGGCTCAGAACATGGTGGGTTATTACTCCACTATGATGCCCGTCATCCGACACCAACCCGTCTACCTGCAGTTCTCCAACCATAAGGAGTTAAAAACGGACAACTCCCCCAACCAGGAGGTAACTCCCGCTTTGTCTGCAGTCTGCTGGCCACCTGGTGGCTCCTGTTGGCCCCCGGTGGCCAGCATTGGCCCCGTTAACCGCTCTCTCTCTCTCTCTGCCAGAGGGCCCAGGCGGCTCTGAGGGCCCTCAGCTCCTCCCATGTGGACACGCTGATGGCAGCTCCCAGCTCGGTGCTGCGGGTGGTGGTGGAGAACCTGCTCTATCCGGTCACCTTGGACGCCCTCTGCCAGGTGAGAATGTTGTTTTCACCTTTACACCTGGAGAGAAACAATTAGCTTCAGTTATTGCAGGTGGAAACTAAAGATCAGGCTGAAATCTGGGTTTGAACCTTCAGAGTCACATAAACACAGTTACAAAGTCAGCCTTCTACAACATGTCCATTTTGATTAATTACATATAACCTAGTATGAATATTCATGGCTGTTTTTAATCAAGGTTAATTACATCCATTTATATTTATATTGTGCTAATTGCGCTTAAGTAGATTTTAATGCGTTAAAAAATTTTTACAGTTGGGTTTTTTAATTATTGTTTTTTGTTTGTTTTTTCCCTTTTTATTGTGTTTCTGGTACAACCATAAATCTGACGCATGAGCAACACCTGTAAACGTCGTCGATGGACGACGGGGTCGCTCAGCGATCTCATTGGACACTGGAAAATACTGTCGCTTTGTCCAAGTTGTGCTAAAAGGAGTTAACTAAAGTAGTATCTCAATGCTAACATGAAGCAGCTAATGCTAATGTCGGCGACCACAGTCAGTTTTTCTAGAGAATCTCATGAAAGATCAGGACTTCCTGAATCACTTTGATCCAATCTGACTGTTTAAGAGCCTCAATAACAGATTAAAAACTGTAAATATCTTTGTTTTTGAGCCTGTACGTTTATTTATTTAATAATTTGGCAGTAAAAAAGCGATTTGAATTGAAAATGTTGATAGTTTTTGATGGTATATCAATTGTTGGCGCTGTGTTGAAATGATTCAAAGAACTAAATGGGAACCTGTCTTTAAAATCCTGCTGGTTGAACTTTGAAAGGTAAAACCCTTTAAACTTTTATCTGAAATCGTGTCTCTGCTCCTGTTTGACCCTCAGATCTTCTCAAAGTTCGGCACCGTGCTGCGGATCATCATCTTCACCAAGAACAACCAGTTCCAGGCGCTGCTGCAGTTTTCAGACGGCTCATCTGCCCAGGCAGCCAAACTGGTAACCAGTGCTGCTCCCAGCTCCCAGTGCTGCGGCGGGGCGGCTCCCTGACGGTTCTGTTGTGTTCCAGACTCTGGATGGACAGAACATCTACAACGGCTGCTGCACTCTAAGGATCAGCTTCTCCAAACTCACCAGCCTCAACGTCAAATACAACAACGAGAAGAGCCGGGACTTCACCCGGCCGGACCTGCCGTCCGGAGACAGCCAGCCCACCCTGGAGCACCATGCCATGGCCGCCGCCTTCGGTAAGGACGGCCAACACGCCGCCACGTGAAGTCTGCTGCTACAGCAGGGCTTTGCAAAGGGGGCAAGTTCACAAAAATAAAGTATCTACAAAGATTTACCCTACCTGTTCATCCCTCCAGCCACAGGGGGCGCCATCTTTAGACTGCTGACTGTCAGCGGCTGAAGCCTTTTACATCCTAAAACTCAATGAGACTCAATGGGGAGTTAAATAATTCAGTCCATCGGCTACAAAGCATGACTGTTTTTGTAACAAAATCATTCTTAGATATTCAGCTTCCAGTCGGCTCAGTTCTTTCAGAACGAGGCGTTTTTGGGCCTCCAGTCTCTTTAAATCCTGATGAGCTGCTGCTGGCCACGCCCCCCACTCACACACCAAAATGATGCCCAATTACAACCCGGCTTTAGAGCAACAGGGACACAAACGGTAGCACAAAAACCTGCACAATGTGAATTTTGAATAATAATTCAAATTTCCTTATTAATTCGGTTAAAATGTCATCGACTCATTTATTTATTTATTTTATGGTGTTTGATACATTTGGAAATGTTAATGTTTGGAGTGTAATTGGTGAAATAAATGCCTGTTATGCCTGGGCTTATTATTGAATGTATTTTGAATAAAGGACATGATGTCTGTTACTTATAAGTACTGAATTATTGAACAAGCTACTTAGTAATTAATGCAAAACGTAATTATGAATTTAATCCTGTGATGTCTGGATGAAAGCTTTCTAGTAACTATGTGTGTGATTTAGCTGCTGATTGTTAGCTGGTTGCTGATTTGCTTTGCCAACTTTGAAAATCTCTGATCAGAAACAGATTTTAAAAGAAGTTTCAGAGAAACAGGAAGTAGAATCGGCCTCAGATCCTCCAAACGCAGAACGCTTCTGTTTCCTCTCTGCAGCTCCAGGAATCATCTCTGCGGCGCCGTACGCCGGAGCGACGCACGGCTTTCCACCGGCGTTCGCGATCCAGCCAGCAAGTGAGTTTCACCTGAGGAGCTGCAGCCAATCAGAGGCCAGCGTTACAGACACTGTACCGGGAATGTTTCATCAAATATTCAACCCTAAAAATGTTTGATGCTGAATTTCTGCTGATGGTCTTTGTTTATTTGATGAAGAAGTGAAAGTATTAATTCGGAGGTTATTGAAGCGGCTCCTTTTCCTCTTCTAAACCGATTTCGCCACTCATGATGTCGATTTGTCCCAAAACGGTTTTTCCTCCCCTGCTGTGAAGCAACACCTGGTGTGATAATCGTGGTTTTATTCAGGTTGTCTTGGTGTGTTTCGCTCTCCCAGTGTCCTCCGCCTACCCGGGCCTGACGGTGCCGGCTCTCCCCGGAGCGCTGGCCTCCCTGGCCCTCCCTGCCACCGCCAGGCTGGGCTTCCCTTCCATCCCCGCCGGACACTCGGTCCTGCTGGTCAGCAACCTGAACCCTGAGGTGAGCGGCGCCGGCGCTGACGGGCAGCACTCACCCGCTTTCACCCCAAACTGCTGAAAATATCTGATCAAAATGTCTGAAATCCCAGAGCTGAGTGGGGAATCCCGAACTCCTGCCTCTGAAACACACACACTTCCTCTGAGGTTTTTAGCTCTGACTTCCTGTTGTGACATCATCACCCCTCCCCGCACCTGCATCCTTACACAGACACACACCTGATGTTTGAAATGATCTTATTTTACCTGAGTGAAGTCGCCCCCACCTTCTTCAAGTCTAACAAAATGGTGCGAAGCGTTTGTGCAGCAAAAATTTAGTTTGTTTAAGATATTAAGTTTCCAGAGGTCATCAGAGGTCAACCACAGAGGTCATCAGAGGTCATCAGAGATTAGGTTTGTGCAGCAGTAATTTTTTGTGCTGCTTTTGTTTTGATGATACTGTTGATGACCTCTGGAAACATTTTTTTAGTGTCTTTGAAATGTCAGAGGCACAAACTAAAATTTGACTCCATTTTATCAGATTTGAAGAAGGTTGGAGGTTGAGCTTCACTCAGGCTTTTATTTTGACATTATCTAACCCCATCCTCTCCAAAGGTAATTTATCCTTCTGATTGACCCCTCACCTGTCTTTTTGTTTGTTTTCTCTCTTCCCCTTTTAATTTGTTGCCATGGAAACGCCTCGGACCCTCCACCTGTCCTGCCCTCCCACCTTTACCTGTCCTGTCCCTCCGCTGCCTTCTCTGCTGTCTTTAAAGAGAGTTACGCCCCACTGCCTCTTTATTCTCTTCGGTATGTTGTCACTAGCTTCTTATTTTTGAATTATCAGTACCACCTGGATGTTCTGGTTTTTGTCTTGAATTTCTGTTTGTTTTATTTTGGTTTGTTTCTTGATTCATGATAAATGAGTGTCTGCTTGTTTTGTTCGACCTTTTGAGTTGATTTGAGTTTATCTGCAATACGTGGAGCTTTTCCTCAGATGTTTGATGCTCCTTTCAGGTTTAAATATTTGGCCTCAGTAATTCAGTTGGAAGTTGGCAAAATCTCAGAAATAGTTTAAACTTCTTTCATGTTTTGAGTATTTTTGTCTTTTAATATACACAATAAACAGATAAACACATTTTATGAATAAACCAGAATACATGAGGAAATGTCCATAATGTGCTACCATATTAGAAAATGTGTACATTAGCTAACCTCAGTAAGACTGAGCTTTATTTTGAAAATACAGTGGAATCATTTTTCATGGATAATTATGACTTTTGTTGAAAGCCCATCTTGTCTCTTATTCCTGTTTTACTTCCATTAGTTATTCAAAACCCAAACATACAAAGACTGGGGCTTTTATTCTGAAGAAAACCTTTTTCTGTTTGAGAATTCTCAGTAATAGTAACAATAATGATAGTAAAAAAAATAAGTTTTTTTTAAATAGTAAACAGCAGAAATGGTAAAAAAAAAAAAGTTATACAATTAAAAATGNGTCCCCTCCGCCCCACTGTCCCCTCCGTCCCCTCCGTCCCCTGCAGGGACATGATAGCGACCGGCTGTGAGGACAGGAACGTGCGCGTCTACTACCTGGCCACCAGCTCCGACCAGCCGCTCAAGGTGTTCACTGGACACCTGGCCAAGGTGTTCCACGTCCGCTGGTCGCCGCTCAGGGAGGGAATCCTCTGCTCCGGCTCCGACGACGGGTGAGGTTCTGGACCAACCGGGCCTCCAGCTCAGAAAGCTGTTCTGGTTCTATGGTTCTGGTTCTGTGTGTGAGCAGAACGGTCCGGATCTGGGACTACACCCAGGACGCCTGCATCAACGTTCTGAGCGGACACACGGCGCCGGTCCGAGGCCTGATGTGGAACACCGAAGTTCCCTACCTGCTCATCTCAGGTACAGAACCACTGGGCCCAGTACTGGGACCAGTGCGACCCGCTATTTGTCCATGAGTTTGGCTTACAGCTGCAGTTTTTGTGAAACATTTGTGCGTCTCGTGATGATCTGTGATGAAACGGATCTCTGGGCTCTGATTGGTTGTGGTGGAGAACGCTGCGTTTTCCCAGATCGTCCTGCCGCCACATCAGCTGACATGGAAAAACATAGTGAAGCTGCTGAAGGCGGGACCGGTCCGTCCTCATTGGTCTCTGGTCCCGCTCGGTTCTGCAGGATCCTGGGATTATACGATCAGAGTGTGGGACACCAGGGACGGGACCTGTCTGGACACCGTCTTCGACCACGGAGCCGACGTCTACGGTGAGACACCGAGAGACACCAGGAGCCCCTGCTGAGGCTGTCCAGGTTTCTGAAGCCCCCCTGTCCCCGTCCTCCCCATTGTCCCCCGTCCTCCTCCCTGTCCCCCGTCCTCCTCCCTGTCCCCCAGGTCTGACGTGTCACCACAGCCGTCCCTTCACCATGGCGAGCTGCAGCAGGGACAGCACCGTCCGTCTCTGGTCCCTCACGCCGCTCGTCTGTCCTCTGCTGCTCAACATCCTGACGGAGACGCCCTGGGACCGGATCATCGGGAACACAGGTGAGCCCTGCTGGAGGCCAGGTTCTGGCCCGGTTCTGGTTCTGACCTGTCTCTCCCCACAGACGCGGCCATGGTCCCCGGCTCGCCGCCGCTGCTCTGTGGGAAAGTGTCCAGAGACATCAAGCAGGAGCTGGACAAGCTGAGCGGAGACGGCCGGTCCAGGAAACTGCGCTGGTTCTCCGAGAGTTTCTCTGTGAGTTCAGGGTCAGCAGGGGGTCTGATGTCATCGGGGTCAGCGGGGGTCTGGTGTCATCGGGGTCAGCGGGGGTCTGGTGTCATCGGGGTCAGCAGGGGGTCTGATGTCATCGGGGTCAGCAGGGGGTCTGATGTCAGCAGGCTCCTCTTCATCAGGCAAACTTCCTCATTAAAACTTTATTTTTTATGTAAAACTCAGTAAAAGTTTATCCTTAAAGGGCCGGTGTCTAAAATCAGTTTTGATCTTTGATCAGAAACAAACCTGCAGTGTTGCTCTGATTCTCTCATGTTTGACAAATCCTTTAGTCTCCATGGCAACCATTCAGCTGTTAAAACACCTGGGTGGACCAAGCCCCGCCTTAGAGGCGCAGCTCCTCCCCCACTCAGCTCCTTCAGACTAGCCAGCAGCAATTAGCAAACAGCTGCTGGAACTGCTGAGCCCTGATCAACGCTGGTAAAAACATTAAAGGGTTAATAGAGGAGCCATGTTGGGATGACTTCCTGGAGGCGGAGCTTCACACAGATCAGGAGTTTCTTAAAGAGACAGAGACCCAATTTCAAGGCGTTAAATCAGGAAGTGAATTTTTTTAAGTCATTTTTTTAAGTCATTTTGTAACAACTGAAGGCAACATAGTTACATGATAGAGCTACTTATAGCCCTGTGGGGCTGGAAAACACAATACTGGCCCTTTAAGAGGCTCACTGTGACTCTCCTGTTTCTTCTAGATGAAGTCTAAAACTCCCAAGAGTTTTTCTGATTTACTGTTAGGGTTAGGGTTTTTTTTTTTAACTTAAAAGCAATATTCTGGTTTAACCCTAACTCTTGCTTTAATTATTTTTTTAAAATATCGTTAAAATGTATTTCCTAGCTCTGGCAGTTTCCATAGAAACCTAAATATCTGTATTGTTCTGTTTTAGTAAGTCGATGCTTTGTCTAAAATCTTGCAGTTTTTCACTGATTTGATGAAACCTGATGTCAGAACTGATAATGTCTGCAGAAAACAACCTTTTTTCTGAGCTCTTCTTCTTGTGTGAAGTAGAACTCAGGGAAGCTGTTCAGGTCCGGTCTGCAGTAGAACCGGTCCCTCTGGGCCTGGAGCAGCTTCCTGCTGAGCCTGAGTGACCGGATAAACAAGCAGCAGCGGATAATGAGATAATCAGCTCATGTTGCCTCCTTACCTCTGGCGCCCCCTGCTGCTGTCCTGCTGTAACTCCAACCCTTCCGCCATCTTTAATAAACATTCTGGTGATGAATCTCAGGGAAAATAGTGAAGCTAACCAATAGATGGCGCTGTTAGCTACAAATCAAATCTCATCCAGACTTTTTCTGACGCTTCAGTTAAAACAAGAATGACATAATCTCTGCATTCCGGGTAAATCTTTAATCTGCTGATGGCCGGAGCCTCCGTCGGCTGGGGGATCGGACCGTTTGGTTCCGGATGAGGTTCTGTTGGATGTGTTGAGCATGTGCAGTGTCGCCCTCAGCCTCCAGGGGGCAGCAGCAACCTTTGGGACCTGGTGTTCGTCATCAACGGCCAGGACGACTCGCTGCTTCCTGCCAGCTACAGCAAAGGCGTGATGCACATGAAACACCTGGTGAAGTTTAAAACGGTGAGCTGCTCAGGTAACCCTGCAGGCTCCGCCCCCCAGCAGGCAGACAGCCAATCACAAAGAGAGGCATCTAAAACAACAGCTCTAAATTTAACAATAGGAAATGAGAATCAGTAGTGCTTTAATTATTTAGTTAAGCAGAAACTTTACTAAACTGTTCATAACCACAAAAACAGAAATGCCTTTATTTTGAAATGGTTCAGTGTTTTCTGTGAACAGAAAAAAAAATCTTAGTTTAATCTGGTGTGAAAAATAGTAAGACTAAAAAAAAAGCCAAAAATGTTTTAAATTATTCTTCAGACAAAAATGAAAAATGTAGTAAACAAAACAGCAATGAGAGGAAAAATACAAGTTTGAAAAGTAAATTATTTATTTATATTTTGTTTTCACTTTTTACAGTTTGAAAAATAATTTACTGTATATTTTTCAAATTGAGTATTGTTTTTTCCTTGTATTGCTTTTATTTCTATTTTATTTAAATTAGTTAATTTGTTTATTTATCACACTAAGAAGTAGCATTTAAAATAAAATTAGTGCCATTAAAATACATGTAAACAGAAGCTACCAGATGTGATACGAGGCAACACAAAAAGATTTAATTAGTTAATAAGTTTACAACAATATAAACACAGTTTGTAGAAACATAAACATTTTTATGTTGATTAAACTGAACGATCAGTTAAATTATATATATATAGGTAAATAGATCAAACATTAATAAACAAAATAAGTCTTTTTACTTTCTAACCTGATGAAAATGTATATTTATATATTTTCTTCTGCTATTGTTAATAATGATGGACCTCAGCTTTATTCAATCAGATAAAATCCCTTTTAGGGATTTAAATTATTTAAAATACTAAATTAGGTTTTAGTTTCGTCTCGGGGGTTTTAAGCTGCTGGCACAAATAACACTGGAATCATTTATGTTTTAATGTTTTATTATTTTATTGTCTAGTTGTTTTATCTTTTAATCTTTTAATGCTTTATTTTAATTGTTTCAGTCTGAAGCTCAGGAGCTGACGATCGTTAAGATGTCGAAGTTCGGCGGAGGAATCGGCGCGCCGAGCAAAGAGGAGCGTCTGAAGGAAGCAGCAGAGATCCACCTGAGGCTGGGTCAGATCCAGAGGTACTGCGAGCTCATGGTGGAGCTGGGACAGGTGAGAACCGGGTCACCGGCCCAAACACAGGTTCTGTTCAGCTCCTGTCTGCTCCCTGAACCCGCCTTCTGTTTCAGTGGGAGAAAGCCTTGGCGGTGGCGCCAGGAGTCTCCATGAAGTACTGGAAGAAACTTATGCAGAGGTAACGCACTCAGAACCAGAGGCAGAGCAGGTTCTGGTTCTATTCTGGTTCTGGTTCTGTTCCGGTTCTGGTTCTGGTTCTGGTTCTGTCAGTAACTGGGTTGTATTTCTGCAGACGAGCCGATCAGCTGATGGCCGACGATAACGATGACGCCATCCCGTACTGCATCGCCACCGGCGACATTAAGAAGCTCGTATCGTTCTTCACCAGCAGGGGGCAGCTGCTGGAGGCCCTGCTGATCGTACAGGTAACAGAGGGGGCGGGGCACCAGGTGCGTCCAGCAGGCCGGGTCTGATCAGCTGCTGTTTGCAGGGAGCGTGTGAAGGGAACATCCGTTCCCCGCAGAGTTCGTCCATCAACCACACGACGAACGACGTGGACAACAGGCAGCAGTACCAGAGGTACGGAGGCGGCAGGAACCCGGTTCATCGCTTAGAGAACAGTAAACTCATCAGCAGCATTGATAAAGATCCACAACATTAGCTTAGCTTAAGTTAGCTTCTTTTAGCCTACACTAGATTAGCTCCCTTAGCCTAGCCCATCTTAGCTAGATTTGGGTTATTTTAGCATTTCTTATTTTAACCCACATTCGTTTAACTTGTATTATATTAGCTTTAGTTATAGCTTAGCATAGCTTGCTTTATCCCAAGTCACTTAGTTTATTTTAGCTTATGGTGTCATGCTTTGGTTTAGTTTAGGAGTTAAATTAACTTAACTAATGCTAACTTAGCTTATTTTATCTTAGCTCTGTTTAGCTTCCTTTATAAGGTAAGATTTAAAATTACAAATAATTTAATCCCTCCTCAGCATATTTTAATTTAGTTTCGATTAGATTAAGTAGCATATGTAGCTTAAATGATTTTAGGACAAAAGCAACATCGAAGTGAAATACTTTTTAATATAGTTTTACGTTTTTACACTAACCAGTTTCTCTGCTGTTTAATCTGCCAGTAGTAAATCTTTATCATAAACTCAGTGAGCAGAAATAATAATAAACGTTTCGTCTCTCTGCCTTCAGCCTCCTTCATCACGTCTGTAAGGAGCTGGCCGAGTGGTACTTCCAAGATGGCTGCTCCGTCCTGGCCGCTTGCTGCCACCTGGCGGTCGACAACATCCACGTAGGTTTCTCCAGGTTTCTCCAGGTTTTTCCAGGTTCCCTCCTCAGTTCTGAAGCCAGGTTTCTGTCCTGCAGTCGGCCATGGCCAGCCTGATCCGGGGAAACGAGTTGGAGCTGGCTGCGTGCGTGGGACTGGTCCTGGGAGAAGCAGCCAATCAGAGCACAGCTTACTGCCTGGAGCTGTTGGCCAGGAAGTACATGACGGCCCCAACATGGTAGACATGCAGCCCGCTTCTGTGTGAGGAGTTTCTGTGTTTGCTGCTGGTCTGTTAGGATGTCTGTTGTTCTCAGGGAGCTCTCCGCTGACCTGCTGCAGATGATCCCTGATAATCACGTCTTACTGGCCAAGCTGTGCGCCTTCCACCCAGGAAGTGCTGCAGAGATCAACCAGCTGCACCAGCGGGTGAGGCGACCTCCGCCCAGATTACAGTTTGATCGTATTCTCTGGGATGGTTGTTGTTTTGTCGTTGCAGTGTGGCCTTCCCTCCCTGGATGAGTGCTCGGATCTGGCAGTAGCCGCGGCGGCTGACGGCGATCTGTTCTCCGCCGTGAAGTTCCACCTGCTGAGCTCTGAGCCTGAACTCGCCCTGCAGATGGGCCTCAGCTTCCTGAAAGGTAACTGTTTGCCCCGCTGTGTGTCGGCTGTGAGCGGATGCCCGCTGTGAATCTCATGCTGCGTGTTGCTGCTGATCAGAGCAGCTGGCCGGATCTGATTGGACGGTGGACGGGGTTCAGCCAATCCTGGACCTGCTGAGCTACATCCGGACCGACCGCCTCGTCCTGCCCAGGCTGACCCAGTGAGGAACTCGGCTCCGCAGGACGCCAGGCCCTCACCCTGGCTGTCGTAACTCTGCGTGTGTGTGTGTGTGTGTGTGTGTGTGTGTGTGTGTGTGTGTGCGTGTGTGCGTGTGTGCAGAGAGCGCAGTGAGCTGCTGATCCTGTGCGGTTACATCGGAGGCCTACTGGCCATCAGACGGAGCTACTGCAGCATCGTTCCTGCTCTCTACGAGTTCACCAGGTACGAATGAACCGACACACCCGTAACCATGGTAACTAGGCTCTCCTGTCCTCCATGTTTGTAGTCTTTCATGAGGGACCCACTGCAGAGAGCTCTGCTCCACCAGAGTCTGACACACACACACACACACACATAAACGAACCAGTTACATTATGTTTAGCAAGGACGTTCTGCACACTTTAACATTAAATAAAAATGTTATGTTTTTTACTATTTTGTTAATAATAAAGTAGATAAAAAAGTCAAATGATTATAATAAAACATTTTTTAAAAACTCAAAGGCAACCCCAAAAGGTGGAAACCTGCAGCTTAGATAAATGTGACGTATATTTATAATATTATTTATTTTTTTTAATTAATGGGTGTTCTCAATAGTCCTGAGATTACAGTAGTTTATTTAAAATAATGTTTAGTTTACTGAAACAACAGTAACGGCTCCAAACTAACTGAATGTCATGATTATCATGGAGAGCAACTGCAGTTTATTACTATTGGATTTTCCTCAGAGTGAGACCTCGTCTTTATGAGACTATCTTCGTCTTTATGAGAAAAAACGCTACATTAGGTCAAAGGTCAGCTTCTGGTCTCCATTAGTTTAGCAAACACAACGCTACAGAATATTAAAATAACGTTCAGTTTTACATTTTCATCACTTTTATTCACTGTTCAATAATTATAACGTTCATTAGCATAAATGCTGCGTCTTCTGACTTTAGTTAATGATTTTATCAGGTAACATTTTATTAATCTGATGTTGAACATATTGCCAAATATTGCACCACAATCTCCTCTTTGGATAAGAAAACGTGTAATATTTTTATGTTAATCCCATCCAATTGTACTTAATCTCCACAGATTAGCTTTTTTTGCAGGAGTGTCAGTTGCTTTGTTTTTTTATTTTATTTTTATTAAGAAATTTAACTGGCGGCCAATCAGAAAGATAAACATCAGAAATAACGTTTTCCCGAACTGCTGGATATTTCTGTCTTCTCTCTGCATCTTATTAACGTTATTTTAAAGTATATTGTAGAAAAATTACTGAAAAATGGATAACATTTCAAAAAAAAAAAAAAGAAAAATATTGCATTTTCTTTTTCCTTTTTTTTCTCATCTTCTCTCCAAATTTCTGAAATTCAGAGACGTTTTATATTTACAGATGATGCCAGTAAAATCCCACAAATGGAGAATAATATTCCAGGACAAACTTCCTGTTTTTACTCAGAGATGTTTTTAAGAAGTTTGGATTTTTATCAGGAAAAAAATAAAATGTTGAAGTTCCTAAACATAAAATTATAAAACCGGAAAAGCAACCAAATTACAGCCAACACATTACTAAAGGCTCCTGAGCTGTGGCGCCCCCTGCAGGTGGGGCAGCGTCTCCATGGCGACGGCAGCAGCCCCTGACCCCCCTCTCTGTGTGTCTCAGCCAGCTGCTGAAGCGGCGGGAGGTCGGCGTTCCTCTGCAGATCCAGCAGCTGTCGGCGGAGCTGGAGGCGTGGCGCGCGGCGACGCAGCCCGGCAGGTCGGCCAACGCCGCCGTGCTCACTTCCTGCTCTGCTGCTCGGGTCACCATGGCAACGCAGCAGAGCGGGGGAGAGCGACGAAGAGGAGGAGCAGATTTGAGATCTGGAAAATCATCAGTGATGATGGAGGGGAAAATGATTCCTGGTTTTATTCTGTTTTAAACCATAATAATCTGAAAAGTGTGGCATGCATTTCTACTTAGCCGTAAAGTTACCATGGTTACTTCTCTGACTAACCAGCTGATTGGCTTCTGAAAGTCATTGAGGGTCTGCTCTCCACACTTTTCAGATTTTAAAAACATTTCCTCCTCTTCCTCATCCTCCTCTTCATCACTCTCTTCTTCCTCCAGTCCAACCTGTCCAAACTGTCTCTGTCGTCCCCAGTCCTCCATCAGAGAGTCAGAGGGAAGAGTTCAGCTGCCTGCAGAGGAAGATCCAGGCCACAGAACCAGGTAACCCGACCAGAACCCTGTCTGGAGCCGGTACAGAATCCGACCAGAACCCTGTCTGGAACCGGTACAGAACCCGACCAGAACCCTGTCTGGAGCCGGTACAGAACCCGACCAGAATCTGGAGCCAGTACAGAACCCGAAGCCGGTACAGAACCCGACCAGAACCCTGTCTGGAGCCGGTACAGAACCCGAAGCTGGTACAGAACCCGACCAGAACCCTGTCTGGAGCTGGTACAGAGTCGCCGTCAATACGGAGGGCAAACAGTCCCAAATTACAATAAATAACTCAAGAAATAATGATTTAAATCTCCTTAGTTGGATAAAATTGAGAATATTTCATTTAAATATATAAATACATTATTCATGAATTAATGAAACGTTTTAATTTATTCAGTAAATATTTAATTTATTCGCTAAATAAATTAAATATTTAAATAATTAACCAGTCAGTTTGAAAATATTTCAGTTACATGATAAATTATTTCAGTATTTTGATGGTTCCTGTGTTCTATGGAAGGCCGAAAGGGACAAAATTAAATAAAAATTAAGTAAATAAATTTCTCATTAAATAATGTAAAACATTTTAAATGATGAAATTAAATAACTCGTATTTAAAGAAAATAAATTCATTTAAAAATATGTAAAATTATTTCATCCTGCATTTATTTTTAAATGTGAAGAGATGTAAATAGATTATCCAGATTATTACATACAAAGGTTCTGATCGGGTCCAGTTCTGACCTTTTCTGGTTCTGATTGGGTCCAGTTCTGACTGGTTCTGGTTCTGATCCGGTCCAGTTATGACTTGTTCTGGTTCTGATCGGGTCCAGTTCTGACCGGTTCTGGTTATGATCGGGTCCAGTTCTGACCGGTTCTGGTTCTGATTGGGTCCAGTTCAGACCGGTTCTGGTTCTGATCGGGTCCAGTCCTGACCGGTCCTGGTTCTGTTCTCCTCCAGGCGCGCTGGTTCTGGTCGGACCCGACTACGTGACCGGCTCCAACCTGCCGAGCCATTCGGACCTCCACCTGTCCTGCTTCACCGGACATAGGATCCAGGTGAGCGCCTGTGCGGTTCTGTTCCCCGGGGTTGCGGTAGGGCTGTATAAATAAATCGATTTGGCGATATATATCGATATTTTCCGCCCTCGGAAAGTATCGATTTTTCATCCGCGAGTATCGATCCGTTAAACCATAGGGGTCCATAGCCTGACAGCTCTTTTTAACGTCTAGTTTGTTACCGTAGCAGCCAGACTCCGCCTCCCTCAGTCTCACTTTCAACTTGAGCTTAAAGTGCACATTATAAACTACACACCAGTTTTTAAATTGTTAATAGGCCAAGTATAACCGGAGTTATGCTAAAATTAGTAAACCATATTTTTCCGAATGTCAGAGAAATGTCAAAAGCGCCGCCATTCCCCGGCTGTTCCGATTATGTGAGAGGGAATGAGCTTCCAAACGTACAAAACGAAACGAAACATTAGATTCCTGTGTTTTTGGAAATGTAAAATCTTCAATAAATAACGATGGGCTGTATTTTGTTGCTGAGGAACGAAGTAAAGTTGCGCAAATAGCCGTGAAAGAGAAGCGGAAAGGAGAAGCGGCGAGAACAGAGCAGCTGCAAAAGCAGTGAAATCGCGAAATTAATGCAGATTTTGACTGGTAGCATTCACTTCGTAATTAGTTTTTAGCTTAGCGGTTTCTGTTCTGTATATAAAGGATTACCTGAAGAATGAACATGGTTGATAACATCCGGGCGCGCAGCGGCGCTGTGTTTTGAGCAGGAAGACGAAGAGGAAAAAGCCCCAGCCGGAATCCGCGGCGCAGTGAGGATTTCCATGATAACAATGGCTGATCGATCATTCTTATTAGCTACAGGCCAAAAGTATCAGAGACTGAGAGTACTATGAGATGCTGGCAGTCTGAGAGGCAGCTACTCAGAGATCCAAGCAGGGGAACAGCGGCGCTGCGTAGCTGCAGGGAGTCGATCACTGCGGGGTGAGGCGGAGCCACGACTTTAGCAGTTAGTAGTAAACAGCTTACAGCCACGGCTAACTCCGGGAGACAAGGTAGAAAAGCCTTTTTCCCCATAGTCCAAAAGACTGCATTTGTGGCTGCATTTTTACTCCAAAATGCAGCCACAGTGTCCAAAAAAAACAAAACAAAAAAAAACATAAGTGCAATCATTTGCATATTGAGAGTCTACAGAGGCGGATAATCTGCCCCACTCTGCTCCTGGATTACCGTTTAAACTTTTGAGTTTTATGTCAAATCCACATGAATTAAATGACAGAAACTAATTCTCTCACTGCGTTTTTGACTCATTTTGTCCAGCTGCAGACTGTTAGACTGTCCAGTCAGAGTCAGGTATTGTGTAGTTGGTGCTTTTTATTAGTTTTTAGTTAACTAAATTCAAGTCTATGGAACACAAAATGTCACTAAAATCACTCTGTCCTTCTAAAATCTTTCAGAAAATTGTAAAAATGCACTGAATCGTAGCAAATTGTATCGCTCAACAAATATCGTATACATATCGCATCGTGACCAGAATATCATATATCGTATCGTATTGTGAAATTATTGTATCACTACACCCCTAGGTTGCGGGCCGGCGTGACGCTCTGGTTCTGGTTCTGTTTGCTTCAGGGTCCGGTGTTCCTGCTGGAGGACAACAAGTCGGCCATTTCTCTGAACGACGCTCTGATGTGGGCCAAGGTCAACCCGTTCTCCCCGCTCGGAACCGGGCTGCGGATCAACCCGTTCTGACCTCAACTGGACCGGACGCAGAGGGGGCAGAACCAATACCGGGCTGAACAGAACTCTTACTGCTCCTGATCACGTCACAGTGCAAAGAAAGTTACACCCGCTGCAAACATTACAGAGCCAGAACCAGCAGAACCTCGTACTGCTTCTGTTCTAGTTCTGCTGGTTCTGCTGGGTCCGGTTCTGCCCATCCCGGTTCTGTCCCAGAAGTCTCGTCCTTCATCCAGCTGCAGCTCTGCTGACTTCAACCCGGCTGCCATCTTGTTTCTGCAGAGAAGAGGCTTCCAGGGTCGTGACCTTTGACCTGCTAGCTGCTGTAGGGTCAGAGGTGAAGCTCCGGGGTTTCTGGTTGTTTCTTTGAACCTCCCGGGACTTCAGATGACCTCTGACCCTTCCCAGGCTGAAGGGTCAGAGGTCAGTTTGCTGTTTCTCTGAGGTCATTGCTGATGTCTCTCCAGCTTGGCGTCGAGTGGAAACAAACCAGGATGCAGCAGAGCGTTTCCTGTTTCCTGTTTCGATCAGGCCAGGGGCGTCTCTAACGGGGGCAGAGCGGGCGGCCGTGGCCCCCGGGGGGAAGCTGGTCGCCCTAAAGAATCATGTTGAGTTCATACAAACATTAATATAAAACCCAGTACACTAATAAATACAAATTAGTTTTTTATTTATTAGATTATTTATTAGTTTATTTATTGGTTCACACTTAGCCGGGTGTTCATAAAAACTAATTGGTCCAAGTTTTAATAATCTTTTCTAGTGAAATTAAACAGAATTTTCTAGTGGATGAAACGCATCAAAGTGTTTTATTTTCCCAGCTACCCGGCTGTGTTTGGACTAGGCCAGAGTCCAGAGACGCCTCTGTTTTAAACCAATCATATTTAACTGTTTAATTATAAATACGAATCTGAGGCTCATTAAAACGGGAAAGACGCCCATTTTAATTTTCCAGCTGCCTCTTTCTGCTGCTCCTGGTTCGGTTCATATGAAATTATTGAATCATATTGAAGATTTCCTTAAGCTCCTGATGATGTTTTATGTTGAAACTGGGAGTTTACTTCTCTGCACTGCGACTTTAAGAGGTCAGCTGCAGGTTGTGGCTTTTTTAGACCTGGTGTAGCTGTGACATGAGAAGTTGACCTCTGACCTTTCAGTTTTTGTTTTCCAGCTGAGCGTGTACATAGAGGATGTAAATCTGGTTATTAGACTGGAAAAACAAGAAAACTGGAATAAAGGGGAATCGCAGACCGATGGCAGACTCTGTTTTTTAGATTCAGATTTTTTACAGGTTTATGTAAAAAATATCAGGAACAGTTAAAGTAACTTAATCAGAGGAAAATGAAAACAGCTGAATCCAGACTGTAGAAAAGAAGAAACATCGATCAAATAAAGCTGAATCTATTTTTTAAAAATCTGAATAAAAAGAATGAAATACAGATTTGTTAAATTTTGTTCAAATCAGTTCTTCCCCTCATTTGCCCAGCTTTTATGAAGCATCTGTTGAAAACTTGCATCAAAATATTTGTTATTGTGTGGCAGAAAGCACAAAACTGGTATATTTTTATAATAATGTAAAGTCCTTCCGCCTCTCCATGGGCTGCCCTTATAATGGTGGAGGGGTTATAGGAGTGATTATCGGAGCTGCGCTGTCTGGGGCTTCATGCCCCTGGGATGAGGAACCAGGCAAAGTGCAACCCGAAGTCCCCTTATGATGCAGAAGGCCTTTGGAAACCGTGTTCCCTCTCCCGGACCCGGGTCACTGGGGCCCCTCTCTGGAGTCAGGCATGGAGGCGGACATATTTCCACTCTGGAGTTGCCCATGATGAGAGGCAACTTACCATGAGTGGGCATTCTTGTTGCCCCCCATCTTGGTGCCTGTAAGTTGGGGTTCAGCCCTATGAATGAGAGGGTGGCCTCCCTCTGCCTACGGGTGGGGTGACGGGATCTGACTGTGTTTGTGCTTACGCTCTAAACATTCAGATTACCCACCCTTTTTGGAGAGTGCCCCTCCTGGGGACTCCCTTATTCTGCTGGGGGACTTCAACGCTCACGTGGGCAATGACAGTGAGACCTGGAGGGGCGTGGTTGGGAGGAACGGCCCCCCGATCTGAACTCGAGTTGTGTTCTGCTGCTGCACTTCTGTGCTCGTCACGGATTGTCCATAAAATGTTCAGGCATAAGGGTGTCCATATGTGCACTTGGTACCAGGACACCCTCGGCCGCAGTTCGACAATCAACTTTGTCATAGTTTCATCGGATCTGCGGCCGTATGTCGTGGACACTCGGGTGAAGAGAGGTGCGGAGCTGTCCACTGACCACTACCTGGTGATGAGTTGGCTC